AAAAGTGGGGTTTTTTTTTTTTTTTTTTTTTTTTTTTTTCAGAAAACAAGAAAGATAAATAAAATACGATATGCAATATAAATGTTGGAAAAGATAAATAAAATTAGTTTAGTAATGTCCATTGTCCACTCTAAATGAAAAAAAAATGTATATATGCTTTATCATATATACAAAACTAAGCAGTATTTTAAGCAGTCTAAAATACGATCTTTTCTATAAAGAGAAAAATATATACAGAAGAATTTCTTGAACTCTTACCAATCAATTTTTCATCACTTTATGAAGAAAATCACAACTGTACAGCAAAAAAAATACTATATTATCTCTATCAATCCTTTGCGTTCTTTATTCTTTTTATTAGAGATTCTATTGATGTTTGGATTCTACTTCCTTCTGTTCGCATCACTGCTTCAGACGCCTCCCGTAGATGTTGAATTCCACGACCCAAACTGGCAATTGAGGGAGCTGCAGGGAGAGACTCAACAGCGCACTCAATTCCATCACCATATAAAAGCAGGCCTGAACAAGTTCCAATACTGCCAGCAAATGTAGCCCAAGGCAAGAACCCAACAGGCCGCAACTTTCGCTTCCTCATTATTTCATAGAAAGCTGTTCTCATGACTGAAATACTGGTTTTTTCAGCAGAAGCTATAACACTGTGAGTAACAGCTCGAATTTTTTCAGCAGATACTGCCACCTTCATGATGCCCGACGTTTTGGCTCCTGAAGTTGCAACCCCTGGAGCAACAACTTTAGAAGGGCCTAAGGCAAAAGCCAGCACTTTCTGTATCTGGCTTAGACCGAATTTGAGCGAAGCTGGAGTTTTGAAAGAAAGAACCTTCACCAGTGTTGATGCAGGGACCACTTTGGTCAGTGATGAAGCTCCTAAAACTGCTGTCGCTCCAGCCCCAACTGCCACCATAGGTTTATCCGTTAACAACCTTTTCTTGTCACCATGATTTAACATAACCCCTTTACCTTCAGAATTCGTGATCAGTTGTCCAACCAGCTCTTTAACTTCAACAGGAAGAGGAGTATCCCAGTATTTCCTAATACCAGCCAAGGCACTAGCATCTACCACCGCCACAATTGTCGTAAACTTCTCAGTCTGGCTCCGGATAGCGTGAGCAAAGAGCGCATGCAACTTGTCATCAGCCGGAAGCTCCGAGAACTCGACCTTATCTGACTTGGCACCACCCTTCCTGTTAATCGGCCTTAACCCCTTATTATTCAGAGCAATTCTAAGTCCCTCAACAGCAATTCGGAAAGTATACACCTCAGAAACAGTTCTTTTGTCAAGAACCTCCCCTCTATTCACATCCAACAACATCTTCTGCACATGCGCAAGCGCCTTCCCAATCGACGGAAGATCGCCAAATATTTCATACAAATCCTCAAGCAACGGATAAATCGACCTAGCAAAACCCGGAGTCTCAAAACTAGTTGATGGCTGAATCTCCAAAACAGAACTAACACCACCATTGTTACCACTAAGCAAAAGTGGATCCAAATAACCAGATAAAGCCCTAGCCAACATCACCCTAAGTTCCTTATCAAGAGAAAACCTCTTCAAAGCCGGAGGGGCCAAAGATGCAGCATGCTGCTGCTGCTGAGGAACCAAACTATGAACAAGACTTCGAAAACTACTACTCCTATCAATCACACCACAATTATCATCACCACTACTATTACTATTACTATCACCCCAACTAGAGGGAGATTCAATAACAAGAAACGATGATCCAACATCCTCAGCAGCTCTCTTAGCAGCCAACAAGGGGCCATGAAAACTGGTCCCGAAAATCTCCCTCAGCACCAAGTTACCTGCAACACTCTCATACACGTCCCTGCCAATTTTATCAAGAAAACAGCGTTTGATTACCCCGAAAGAAGAAGTCGGCAACGGAAGGGAGTCTTCTTCCTCGGAGAAGGCGGAAACTGCTGCCTGCACCAAAACAGCGTCGGGTTTGATCTCCCGGATGAGGCACTCGGCATCAGAGGCCGATCGCTCCGATAGGTTAAGAGAGGAGAGAATGTAAATTAGGGATTGGGTTTGGGGGTCGCGGAGAACCAAGACGAATTGCTTGGTGTCTTCGGGTAAATTCAGTTTGCTCACCAATTGCTTCGAGCCTCTCAACTCGTCCACTCTGAAGGGCCACAGGTTCCATAACCACGCAATCGTCATTTGAAGAATGCGGATTTGGAGAAGGAAGACGAACCCACAACACAACTCTATGCTTTTGAATGTGTGTGAATGCTGTATTTTTATTTTTTTTTCCAACAGAAATTGGGCATTTGGCTGCTCAACAAGTATGACTTTTAACAGTAAGTCTAATATATAAAAGATTAAAAACTTATTTTAGTCCCTTATAATAATTATTTATTTTAATTTAATCTTATTTTTATTTTTAGTTTTAATTTAATTTTAAATTAATTAATTTGTTTCAATTTGGTCCTACATAAATTAATTGGTTTCAATTTAGGACTTCCGTCCAAATTATTTAATCGGAATTAACTGTTGGCCACGTGGATGTCATGTAAATGCATATGTGGATATCACGTGGACGCCAAATTTTGTGAAAATACCTGAATCATAATAAAAAAATTATTAATTTATTTTCTTTTAGTGTCCTCTAAATTTTTACATTCATTTAAAACAAAAAATATTTTATATGTTAATTTAAATTAATTTAACGAAATATCATATGATTTTTAATTTTTTTAAAAATTTTATAAATTTGATCTATACATGAAAAACTTTTTAATTTAACAATTAAATTCTTAAAAATTTGATATAGAACATTAATTATTAAATAAAATAAATCTATCAAGACTTAGATATTTATTATATTAGATATAACAACATAATTAAAATATAATTAATAATATATATTTTATAAAATTATTAATATTTTATATATAAAAAAAAGAATGAAAAAAATTTTAGTTGAGGCAAGTGCCCCCACTATGATTAACTTAGATCTGTCCCTGCATATGGTTAGTGGGGGTAATGTTTGAAATGCTTTGTACCTTGGGTCTTTTTCCTTCCATGATGATTCACAACCGTGAACTATAATCATTGATAGTTTATGTTTAGCAGTCTGGAACCAAAATGGCCCGTTCTAGTTTCACTTTTAGTGTGTTAATTTTGCACCTGGAACGGGCCGTTCTGGATGCAAAATTAACATACCAAAAGTGCAACCAGAACGGTCTGTTCTGGTTTTAGAACGGGAAGTTCTGGTTCAAAGTGTTTTGAAAAAAATTGGCATCCACGTGGCATCCACGTGGCCTCCACTTATGCATCTACGTGGCATCCACGTGACCAACAGTTAACTCCGTTTAAATAATTTGGACGGAAGTCTCAAATTGAAACCAATTAATTTATTTGAGACCAAATTGAAACCAATTAATTAATTTGGGACCAAATTGAAACCAAAAATAAAAGTGGGACTAAATTAAAACAATTATTATAAGAGACCAAAATGAGTTTTTAGCCTAGATAAAATATAGACTTAAATGTCTATTTAAGTACATGTAATATATAGCGAGTTTTGATGCAAGTCTCAAAATTCTTCTTTATTTTTCATATTTTAAAAATTTGTAAATATTACTTTTAGTTTTTATAAAACATATTTAGTATTTATAAAATTTATAAATATTATTTTTAATAATATCTATACATATTATAAAGGAACATTTTACTAATCATCATTTTGATCTCCACTTTTTAGTGGACCTTTATATTCTTGGATGTAAAAAAAATTATTATATCTTTTATAATTTTTAAATTTATTTGTATATAACTATAAGAGACACAAAATACCTCGACCTTTATAGTTTATATAATATAATTAACTTCTGTATATTAAACATGAATTTATATTTTATATAATAGTATTTTTATGATCTTTTCTTTAACTAGAGGATTTTTAGAAAAAAATTTAACTTCTCATCTAATTTAATTTTTATTTATCATAATTATTTATAAATTAAATATAATAATTTTAAAAAGTTATAAAAAAAATTATATTTATTTATATATTTAATTTTAAATATAATTTATATATTCAAACATAATATTTATTTAT